GTAGCAGTAGCAGTAGTTGTAGCAGTAGCAGTAGCAGTAGCAGTGGCAGTAGCACCAGTAGTAGTAGGAGCAGTAGTAGTAGTAGTAGTACTACTACTACTACTACTACTACTACTACTACTCCTACTCGTGCTCCTCGTCGTACTCCTACTGCTACTACTACTACTACTACTACGACGACGACGACTAGTAACTAGTAGTACTACTACTGCTACTGCTACTGCTACCACTACTCCTACGCCTGATACCACTACTACTACTACTACTACTACTACTACTACTACTACTACTACTCCTGCTGCTGCTGCTGCTGCTGCTGCTGCTGCTGCTGCTGCTGCTGCTGCTACGCCAGTCGTACCAGCACTAGTAATAGTATTGATAGCAATAGCCGAAGCAGTAGCACTAGCACTAGCAATCACAGTACTAGTAGCAGTAGCCGTCGCAGTCGCGATCGCAGCAGTGGTCAGTGCTTGCAGCTCCATCGCCCAGTCCAGCACTCCAGGAATGGCTGATAAAGATGTCGGCGTGGTCGACCTGCCAGGCGTGTGCTGAGTAATCACAACCTCGAACTCCTCGGGGATCACTCATCTCTTCAGCGCTCCTAGGCCTCGTGTAGGTTGTAAAAAGTCCAGATTAAAGGGAATTAGCAGCAAATGCTCGTAATTAACATTCGAAGATCTCTTGTTTGTGACACTTCTTGCACAGACTCTGTCGCAGCTTCGACCACATACCTTTATTGTCCGCGATGCGAGACTACGCACCTCATGCGCTACAACCAAACATAACAGAGAATAACAAACCACAGCGGGCACCTCGACAAACCTGCTACATCGCAGAACGGTGGTCTGCCAGCTAAGTGCAACACGAGTAACTCAGTGACTGTACAATTCCGATGATATGTCCCTCGCCCAACACCCTAGTATGGGGGGCCTTAAATATGAGACTAGGGTTTGGGGTGTAGGTTATGCTACACAAGGAGAAGGACCATACAAGGCTACTACTACTGCTGCTGCTACTACTACTACTACTACTGCTACTATTCCTGCTGCTACTAACTACTACTACTACTACTACTACTACTACTACTACTACTACAACTACAACTACAACTACAACTACAACTACAACTACCACCACCACTAACTACCACCACCACCACTACTGCTGCTGCTGTTCCTT